GGAGGAGAGACGAAACGTTTCATTAGAGAAGAACCCGTCCACAAGACCTATACAAATTTTTTCCTTTTTAAAAGTGAGAYTAGAAGGAAAATAGAGGAATTTGTCAATTATACACAAAGACCTTGAACACAAATGCAGTGTGAAAAAGACTGAAGCTCTGAAGAATCTCACTTATTTCCACAGTTTCCTTTCTGCATGTTTTGATAAAGGATTCTTCTGGAATGTAAATGATTTCTTTATCCTACTGAACAGACCATTTTAGATTTTAATTTTGATCAGGTCCCCCCCCCACCACCAAACAAATGTTATTTTGTACTTTTCCACATAACGCACTCAGTTTATTTTTAAACCTTGAAGACTTTCAACAYATAAAAGTGGATTTTAAAGAAAAGACAGTGCAGATGAAGATGGGCTAAGCCAGGGGTGGGCAATCCTGGTCCTCCAGGGCCGCAGCCCTGCATGTTTTATTTTTTTCTCTGCTCAAACACCTGATTTGAATGAATGGGTGATTATCAGGCTTCTGCAGCACGGAGGACCGAAACTGACATAATTAAAAATAAAAGCGGAAATATATAAATTGACTAATAAATAAATAAATAAATAAAATAAAATAAAAATATATATATATATATATTAGTGTCACCTTTAGTAGTTTTGGCAATGTCATTTGTATTGGTGTGAGCTTTTGCTGCGGTGAGACTTTATAATCTACTGGTTAATATTGTATTAGCATGAAAAATTCAACTTCAAAACTCTTGAATACATTAGTCAACAATTATTGCACTCCAAACAGCCCGTGAATATTGTGCACACTGATATTTGAGATGTATTGTGCAGCCCTAATTAAAATGTTTGTCATGATAATTAGATCAGGGAACTTAAAWAGTTTTGTTTGTCCAGGCACTAAAAGCACCGAGACGTGTTTCGTCCCAAAAAAGCTGACGTGTTTCAAGAACTCTACGACCGCCTGGGTGGACTTTTCTGGAGGACAACATCACACTCTCTGCCTAGATGCTGAAGGTAAACCGAGCACATCTGACCCATGTTTTCATGTAAATCTSTGAGATGAATCTAATTCTGTTCGACATATAGTAGGCAGGATAGAAATGTTTGACAACTAAGTGAACTTTGTGTTTCAGGGCAGGTTTATAGCCTCGGTAGAGCAGAGTACGGCCGCCTCGGCCTGGGTCAAGGAGCTGAAGAGAAAAGCGAGCCCACCCCTGTGAAGGGGATGGAGCCGGCTAGAGGAGTATCCTGTGGAGCTTCTGTCAGTTATGCAGTCGCCAGAGAAGGTGAGAAACAACTCCTATGTAGGAGAATATTGAACTGTGAGTTTCTTGGGGTTTTTTTTTTTTCTGTTTTGCTTTTAAGGTAGTGAACAAGGTCTAAAAATTTAACAATATGGTTGTCTGAACCTTCCAAACATCATAGGTTGTTTTAGGGATGCACGWTAACTTATTTTAAGAACCGATACCGATAATTTTCTCCTTCTAATGGCCRATAACTGATAACATGTCAGGAGATAAGACTAGTCAAAAATGGGTAAGATCATAACAAGTAAACAAGACCCCAACCAAATGAGACTGTAAATTATACTATTTGAAATAAACTCTTAGCAAACAAACATTTCTTAAAATATATCAAACAAAACACTTTGTCAAATTGCTATTTTTTAAAAATAAGGCACATTAATTATAAAAAAAAGACCTTTAACACTGATCTCAGATATAAAC